ATATGGAATTACTACTAGGAAAAAATACTAGAAAAGTATATATATATATATATATATATAATGGCAGATAGAAAAGGAATACCAAAATGACTAGAAAATGAAAACAACTCTTATTTACATATGCTTGAGTCCCGCAGTTAAATGTTATTTTTTTAAACATCTAGAATTATACACAATACACACCTAGCTCATGTAACTGTAATGTTTACATTACTCATAAAAAAGCCATTGCATAGCTCAAGAAATCAAGCACTAAGCAAGTTTTGACCAAAGATTAAACCACATTTCAAGTCAATTCTAAACAAATTTACCAACAGGCCTAAAATTTGTGACATAAATCACACAAGTAGCAGAGATGTGTTTTTTTTTGTTGTTTTTTTTCACATTCCTCTTAATTTGTCAAATTCAGATTCAAAATCAGAGGAATGTGAAAAAAAAAACACTTGAAATTTACGTGTTATTTTATCAAACTTTAGACCCATTGGTTTCTACTGCTTTTCCAGTTTTCAGACTTTAATTGTAATTTCTAAACAAGCTTAGTTTCAATATACAGATGATTTTAAATATATATTTTTAACAACAAATTATCCCATTTTATTTTATAGCTACTACCAATGCTACATTCCTTGATGATGTAATAGTTAGGACAGAAGGTTATTTACTTATGATTTATTTTAATAGTTCTGATGGTTGAAAATAAGCTTCATAAAAGAAGTTCCCACATTCATTCCCAGATTCTAGTACATTTCATAACAAATTACCTAAAAGACAAAAAGCTCAAATCCATCCCTGATAATTTATTAAACCATCCCTTAAACACACTTAAATTTACTGCTTGTACCAAATCTGAAGGAAACCCATTCCAAAGACCAACCACCCTGTTAGTAAAGTAAAACTGATTAAGCTGAAGATGATTCTTACCCCACCAAAATTTTATTTGTCCCCTTTTCTTATCATTTTGACCATTGAATATGACAAATTATGATGCATCAATACGATAAATTCCCCTAATAAACTTGAACATCTCATTCAGATCCTCTCTAACTTTTTCTTCAAGAGAAAGTAATTTCAGAAATCTTAATCAATCGTCGTATAACAACCTTTCCATCCCAGATATCATCCTAGTAGCCTTCCTCTGAACCTTTTTCAACAATTTTAATGTCCTTTATAAATGTAATGAGCTCAAACTAGTGACCTATACAATGAAATAACCTCTTTGGAATATATTTCTGTAAATACAACCCAAAATTCTATTTGCTCTACCACTAGCAACAGTACAATGTGTGAATAGCTAAAGAGGCTGATAAAGCAAAACACCAATATTCTTTTCTTTGTTAAGGTTATTCCCTTCAAAATTATACTTATATTTTAAACTGTGATAACCCACATATATTACCTTGTACTTATTATAATTAAAAATCTTCTGCCAGTTATTTGCCCAACTCACCAAATGATCCACATCCTTTTATAAATGTAACTAAGAATTAAGTATTGTTTGTATTTATGTAAAATAAAAAACAAATAATTAAATAATTGTAACTGTTTTTCTGTTTTATAGAAGTAAAAAAAGCAATAACATCAAATACAGTCATTCTAAAAACTTGTTCCATGCTCAAATTCCATACTCAAAAACCTCAACACAAATGCAAAAATACTAAAAAACACCAATACTCCAATATCATCAGCAAATTTAAGCAGTGTATTGAGCATTCCTTTATCAAAATCATTTTCTCTTTCCTCATATAAAGAACAAAGTGCACTAAAAAATAAATTATACTAAGAAACCCAAGAGATACATTTCATTTTTAAGATATCAAAATTATAAAATATCACAGTTTAGTCAATACAGATTAATAATTTCTAGTTCATTAAGAGGGCTTATAACTTTTGACATATTGTAAATTAGCACTTATACTACAATAGGACATATAACTTATCAAAGAAATAACATATTGTAAACTAGCACTTATACTACAATAGGACATATAACTTATCAAAGAAATAACATATTGTAAACTAGCACTTATACTACAATAGGACATATAACTTATCAAAGAAATAATATTGTAAAATAGCACTTATACTACAATAGGACATATAACTTATCAAAGAAATAACATGTAAACTAGCACTTATACTACAATAGGACATATAACTTGTCAAAGAAATAATATTGTAAACTAGCACTTATACTACAATAGGACATATAACTTATCAAAGAAATAACATATTGTAAACTAGCACTTATACTACAATAGGACATATAACTTATCAAAGAAATAA